TTCTGATATTGAGCCCGAGGGGCTGGCACTGTTCTGATATTGAGCTCGAGGGGCTGGTTCTATTGATATTATGCCCGATGGGCGGTTTGTTGTCCATGTTTTGCCCGAGGGACTGTTTACATTTCTATCATTTTTGTTACTCGTTTGTAAACTACTTGCTTTACTTGTTGAAAAAAGGGATTTTCACTTGATTTCTCACTGCTTTACTGTTTAAAGTGATTTTACTGCTTCACTATGGAATACCTTGTATTTTTGCGTGATTTCTTGTCTTCAGTCTTTATTTATTATTATTACTCACTGAGTCGGAGTACTCATATTACTCCCTGCACCTTGTGTGCAGATTCAGGTATGTTTTGGTTGATCGGAGGCAGAGTCATCAGGGTTTAGCAAGGTAGCTGCCGGCGTTCGCAACACTGCTTTTCTCTCTCCTCATTTCATTAGTCTGTATCTGTACACTCCAGACTTTCAATTGTATTTATACCCTAGTAGATGCTCGTGACTTGTGACACCCCGGTTAGTGCTGTATCGGGTTGTGCTTTCGTTAATTATATCATTAAATCATATTTAAACTGTTTATTAATGTTTAACTATTTTTGAAAAGGCGATATGGGTTTGTTGGTTGGCCTTGTCTTCACGAGAGGTGCCATCACGACCGGAGCGGGGTTTGGGTCGTGACAAATAACACTGCCTAACATAAACTTATTTCATTTTAGATGGTTGTTACCTTTTGTATCGTATCGTATTGTTACTTTAAATACAATGTTTGTTTTGATTGTTACTTAAATTGTATTGCATCGTATCATTAAATCCGTCGTTACGTAACGATGAAATGTGTCACTTTATGTAACGACCGATTTGGTGTGGTCGCGTCATTTCCTTGGGTTTTTCTCTCAATCTCACCCTTCATTAGTATTAAATAATTTTATTTTATTATTTACCCTACCTTTTTATATACCGTATCATAATTTTTCTTTATAATATTGCAAGTTTATTCATGATATTACTGGTGCGTGATACCATGAAACGACGATAAAATAACACAATTCATCCAAATATTGTATTCATCAAACGATACAATACAATATAATACGATACATTATGAAACGATACGTAACAACCATCCAAACAAACTGTAAGTCCACTGAGGTTTCTTTTATAACTGGGGGTTGTTATTGGAGTTGAGCAAAATAAACCAAACAAGAAGGGCAGACTTTTACGAGCAAAAGGAGACGTCTACGTCTGGCAAAAAGAAGAAAAATAGGAAAAGTGACATGAATTCACTTCATTATTCTTCCTCCGATTTGTTCCATTGCTTCAAATATTGTTTCAAAAATCATTTTACAATCTTTCGTGATGGCTATCATGGCGTATCCTCTGATAAAAACGTTCTTTACATATAAAACAAAAAAAATAGGATTTAAGATGATAATAATTAAGAATTTTAATATATAGATACATGGACGGGTAACAAATAACAGAAAACATCATACCAAGTATAAATAATGCATCTAGTTAGAAGCAACTGAATTCATAATTCAAAATTCATACTTGAATACATATAAGTTTACAACTTATATAGATTGTAGCATGCATATATAAGAAATAAACATAACACTTATGATGAAAGCTTATATTACCTTAGATGAATATGGAACATCCGATAAGTCAACCGGCCTTCAAGAAAAAGAGTTCATTAGAGGAGAAGTAAGATTTCTATAATTTAATTAATGGAATATTTGAAAACCACAACCAAAAAGATATAATTCAGGGACCTTGAAGACTTAATTGTACCCGATGAATTGCATTTCGTATCTGCAAGAAAAATAGCTATTAGAGAAACAATACACAGTAAATCATTAATGAAAAGAACATAAACTAACAATTATATAATATTTAGACATAGCTGATTTAAAAAGGCAATAGAAAAGAAGGGTTGAGGAGAAAATAAGGAGATGCATGTTGTAGGAAAGAACTGAAGCATGAGGCGAATGATATTGGAAATTGATTGTATCTACCATGTTTGATAAGAAACGGGAAGTACAATAAAAGCATAGGAATCATAATCGATTCTTTTTCATCTTATTAATAACCTCTAAGATTACCAACTTCACAAATTCCCCAGGTTTTAATAGGAACAAAGAGAAGTGTGTAGTTGGACAACAATTAAGAGTCCTTATAGAAATTAATAGTGATTTATCGTAGTACAATTTTATCTTTTAGGTTGACATAACACATATATTTGCAATACGTATGGGAAGGTTAAGTATTGTCCTTAAGCGAAGGGTAATATTGTGATTTAACTTTTAAAGGTTATTATGGTAAATTAACTTCACCCAAAAATCTTCATGCTTATATTATAATATGATATTTAGGACTTTGAAATCAAATAAAACTTTATTTATTAAAACTTTCCATATTTGAATTATTATGTAGGACGCCCTAATATTTAGGACATTAAAATCAACTAAATTTCTTCCTCGTATAAATTGAAGTTCTAATTTAGGTCCAAATATATGAACTAACTTAGGTTGAAATACTTTTAGAACCTCAAAATTTTTAATATCTCAAAGCATATAATCAATTAAAAACTTTCTAATCTCAAAGCATTATAATCCATAGTTTGTCCCTTTTAACATTTAGCGAAATATTTATTCCCTTTTTTACCCTTTAAAAATAGAACTCGCGCTAAATAAAACAATTAATTAATTATTCTTTTAAGATTTAAGATTTTGAAAGTAACTACAATTCGAGTTATTAAAGTTTTCTTTATTAAAAGTTGGTAATATACCGTATTAGTAAAAGGAAAATCGTAACGCGTTAGTTTTCCTTAATACAGTAAATTACGTTAGTTTTACTGTTAGAAAACTTTGGAGCACTTTGAGCTCCTTTTAGGTAGAGCCATCAATATGGGTTTGGCTCGTTGGACCAGCCCAGCCCAGCTTGTAATTTAACAGGGCTGGCTGGAATTTTTGGAGCCTATATAAAAATAAGGCTTTTAAGCCCGACCCGAGTAAGTCCGTGACCCATGAGGCTTGACTGAGGCTGTGCTGGGCTGCGGGCCTAATAAAAGTACAACAACAATAACAACCCAGTATAATCCCACTTAGTGGGGTCTGGGGAGGGTAGTATATAAGCAGACCTTACTTCTACCCCGGGGTAGAGAGGCTGTTTCCAAATAGACCCCCGACATCCTTCCCTCCGAGAACTTCCCACCTTGCTCTTGGAGAGACTCGAACTCACAACCTCTTGGTTGGAAGTGGAGGTTGCTTACCTAATAAAAGTACATATTTAAAATATATAAAGTATTAAATATATGACACAAAAAATAACAAGAAGAGTATTCCAAACTTAAAATTTATTAAACTCATCATATTAAAAGATCAAAATCTTAAAATGTTGAAATTTAATTATTCTCAATATTTAACTAATTAATATTGCATACGAATTGTAGATGTAGAAGAAAGTGAATATGTTAAGACAACCTTCTCATAAGCATATTCAAATATGTTTGATGAAGATGATGTGTTAGATATCCCATAAGTGTCATGGGCGTTCTCTTGAATAGTTTGTTTTGAGTTTTGGCTTTTAGTGAATGAAATATAGTCTTATCTTTTACTTTTTTAGTATTTATTGTGATATATTAGAATCGTATAAAAAGTTATTAAGTTTTGTAAAATTTTTCCAATAAGATTTTTTTAACTTTTAAATATTTATCTTTTTTTTTAGTTTAGAAATTAAAGAAAAAAATATAATATTATATTTTAAAAAATGATGGGCCGGCCTGTGGGGGCTCGTAACCCACATAGGGTTGGGATGAACTGATCATTATAAGGTCTAGCAAAATGGTGGGCTAGCCCATCCCAACCCATCAATTGCAAAAGCCCACGTGGGCTGGGCTGGGCTAACCCGCCCCTGCCCATATTGACACTACTTTTAGGTTTAGAAGTTTTTTTGTCTGTCATTAAATTTTAACCAATTAATTATTTACAAATATTTTAGTTAAAAATTTCAAACACTTTCAACTCCAAATTATCATTCTTGGTTCAAAATTCATAATTAATGTCTTACTTATCATTTTCTGTTTCACTTATAATATAAAAATTTACTAATTAAATATAATTACCTTGCACACTAAAACAACTTAAATATTATGTTTTGAAAGTTATATCTGTTTATTGAATTTAGACGGTTGTAGATAAATTACTCATAAAAAATTTGCGTATATAGTGCCGCTAGTGTTTTTATTAGGAAATCAAATTTTCTAATATGCTCAATCCTTATTTTTAGTTCAAGCATATCCTTATTTTTAGTTCAAGTTTTTCTTTTGAACCTATATTTGATATATATATATATATATTTGTAAATAAACTACAGTTAAATATTGGACAAACTTTGAAGAATGACTGTGTATATTGTTTAACTCATGTAAACTAAATACTGTATATATTAACGTTGATGCATAAAGTAATAGATTTGTCTAAATACTGTATATATTCAAACTTTATTTTTGTTCTATATTTTACTAATTTTTATTGTCAGATATAAAATTCACGTGCACTAAAATTAGTTTCTATAAATGACACTTTAACTATTTCATGATTCTCTCCCCCGCCCCCAAATGAATAGTAGCAATTAGCACCTTAAATGGTACGGTACATACCCACATCTTAGCTCCTCAAACCGGAGTGACGTGTTAAACCGATTCGGTCGACATGTGGTGCTTTACTGACCCCGGTTCAAACTCCGGATATTTTATTCGAACAACTCCAGAAAAATTAAAAAAAAAAAGCTACTAAAATAAGTGGAAATAGAAAAATATCCCAACATTAAACCCAAAAACCCTACATTTGTTAAACCCCAGTCATCTTCTCCATTTCTCAAACTCCTATAGAGTTAAAACAGTCTTATCTCTGCTTCTCTAATGGCTAATTGAACTTAACTAAAAATACTATGGCGGCGAAGAAGAAGCAAAATCAGAACAAGCAGAATTCAGTGAAGAGTAGTAGTAGCCAAATTGAAAAAGCAGTGAATTGCACTAAAAAGAAGAATAATAATAAAAGGAAGCAACAGCAACAGCAACATCAGAAACAGTTTTTGAATGAGGATGATTATAGACTTCGGCTTCAGGAGGTATTGTATTCACGGGATTATATTTTAGCTAAAATTTTCAGAAAGGACGGTCCTCCACTTGGTGATGAATTTGATTCTCTTCCTGAAAATGCTTTTTGTCTCCGCCTGAAGAAAGGTAATTTATATAGAAAAAATCATTTCACATTTTGAGTGAATTTTTTATAAAGCAAAATGGTTTTGATTGTTGATTGTGTAGGTGATAGTTCTGTATATGGTTGTGTTCCATTTCTAGCTCTGGTTAAAAGCGTAGCTATGTGCTTAGGTAGCGAATGAAATCAGTCTGTTATAAGCAATTGAGTCCGTCCCTACTGACGCTACAGCTTCTTTTGACTTTGGTCACACTTGGTGTAAATTGAAGTCAGTCTAAATAGAGTTTAAGTTATGTGCATTGTCAGTGTAAATTCTTTTACACTATACGGTCATTTATAAGGTAATTACAGGTAAACTCTTGATAAACATTATTTGGTAATAATTTGATAAATATGGTATTTACCTGCTATCAAAGGTTATAATACACTTCTACAACTTAAACCCATATATACATATATGTGTGTGTTTGTTTGTTTGTGTGTGTGTGTGTAGGGCTAGATAGATATTATCAGATTCGGCAGGTGGCAGAGATGGATACAGTACTATATATCTGCAGCAGGTTCTCTATATGTGTTTGTTTGGTGTCCTGCTTTGGAAACTATCCAACGGTAGACAATCTTAGGAAGAGAGGTTTATGGTGGTGAGCAGTGTTGCATGTGCAAAAAGCATGAGGAGTCTTTTCTTTTTCTTTTTTATTTTATTTTGTGTGTGTGTGTGT